ACGGTAGCTAGAAGCTTCAGCTGGATTTTTATCCGGCTTCAAAATTGGAACAACTTTTGCATTTTTCCATTTATCAGGAAAGTATGCCAAATGGAAACATCTGTTAAATAATTTTACCAAGAAAGACAAGGTACTCTCTGGGAGTTTTTTGATGAGGATATAGAAAATTCCATCATCACCTGGAGCTTTCATATTTTGAAATTTTTTAGTTATAGACCTTACTTCGTCCAAATCAGTCCCCCAGGAATCATCAAAAATATTTTCCCGAGAGAAAATATTCAGAAAATCCCGAGCAACCTGATTCTCAATAGGACTAGTAAGACCCAAACTGAAATTATGGGAACTCTCGAATTGCTTAGCAAGTTTCTGAGCTTTTTCCAAATTTGTGATCAAAATTTTACCACCTTCTTTAAGGGCTGGAATAGGCTTTTGAGGTTTTTTCAAAATTTTTGTGAGTTTCCAAAAGGGTTTGGAACTCGGGTCTAATTTAGAAATATTATTTTCAAAAGTTTTGTTCCTCAGGGCAGAGAATCGCTTTTTAATTTGTTTTTGCAAATCCCGCCAGATAACTTTCATGGCAGGATCGCGTGTTCTTTGATATTGTCTCCTACGGACATTTTTAAGACGGATCAAGAGCTGAAGATCATCGTCTATTATAATTGAATCGAATTTAACCTCGCATTTTGGTACTGAGGCAGCTCTTGCTTCAACTATAGAAGTAGTCAGAGATTCAAGAGCATAATTAATTTCATCTTTGGTTTGCAAAGGAATGTTTGGATCGAAGTTATATTCCATAAATGTTCGATACTGCTCCCAATCAGCTCTATGGTAATTGAAAGTAGAGCTGTTGGGATTACAAATTATTTCTTGGGATATTTCAAAAGTTACTGGAAGGTGATCAGAACCGAAGTCAGCATGGGTAACCAATTGGCTACAAAGTTGACATGAATCAGTTAAGACCAAATCAATAGTGGAGGGATTTCTTGCAGAAGAAAAGCATGTTGGGCTGTTTGGATATTGAATAGTGTAATAACCTGCAGAACAATCATCAAACAGAATATTACCATTGGAATTGCTTTGAGCATTATTCCATGAGCGGTGTTTTGCATTAAAATCACCAATAATGAAGAATTTAGACCTATGACGGGTAAGTTTCTGGAGGTCACCCTTGAGAAAATTCTTTTGCTGGCCTACGCATTGGAATGGCAAATAGGCAGCTATAAACGTAAGTTGTCCAAATTTTGTTTCAACAGAAACTCCCAAAGTTTCAAAAACTTTGGTTTCAAATGAAGAAAGAATTTTATGTTTGATTCGTCTATGAATAATGATGGCAACGCCACCACAGGGTCCATCAAGACGATCATTTCTATAAATCAAGTAATTTGCGTCCTTCTTAACCTTATGGGCAGGTTTAAGGAACGTTTCAGTTATAACGGCAATATGCACGTTATGAACTCTCAAAAAGTTAAATAGCTCGTCTTCATTATCTTTAAGAGATCGAGCATTCCAATTTACAATATTTAATGCTTTAAAATCCATTACTGAATTTTAAAGTCATGACAATATTATTTGCAAATTTTACTCCAGTTTGAATAGCATCAAACATGGAGTTAGATTTAAGCATATCAGAAATCATATCAATTAATGAATTCTGTAAAAATTCCATTTTGGGGGCAGTAATGCTTCCTAAGTCAAAATTGTCAAAATTTCCGTTAGAACGTTGGTTAGCATTTTGATTTCTACCCGCTGCAATAGCAGCATAGGTAGCTCCATTAACTCGCTGAACATTGTTAGCAGCGAGGGGAGTAGGTACAGATGAAACATTTGAAGCAGGGGAGATATTTGTACCTACGGGTACGAATGAAGAATTTGTTCCTCGCTGACCGTTGTTAACAGCAGAGGAATTTGTACCTGGTCGGAAACGTGGAGCGTTTCCTACCTGACGGTTAGAACGAGATTGTAGGATCGCTTTGCGAGTCTTACATTCCCAAAAATTGGATTTGTGGTTTTCACCACAATTTGAACATTTAAATTTCTTAGGATCTTCCTTCACAGGACAGTCGTCCTTTGCGTGAGAGGAATCACCACAATTCATGCATTTAGCTGGCATGTAGCAATTTTTAGTTCCGTGACCCCATCCCTGGCACTTACGGCACTGGGTGAGGTTTTGGAAATTTCCTCCAGTCTTCCTGAAGTGTTCCCACTTCACTCGGAACTGGAGCATAAGGCTAGCTTTTTCTAAGGCCTTAAGGTTGTTTAGTTCACTAGATTTGAAGTGAACTAAATAAAAATCATTAGAAATCCCGTTGCGCGAATCGCCAGGACGGGATTTCATTTTCATTTTGATTACTTGGAGTGGCACAACTCCAAGTAATTTTGCCAGTTCATCTTTGATCTGATCCAGGGATTCACCACTGGGCAGTCCTTTCATGACAACCTTGAACACACGTTCAGTTTTGGTGTCGTAAGTAAAAAATTTGTGCTTCTTCTCAGTAAGATACTTGAGAAGACATTTAAATCCGTCCAAGGTTTCAGCCAATACACGGCATTCACCCCGACGTCCAATTTGTAGTGAAAACTTAACTTTCACGAAATTCAAAAGTTCCATGCGAAGAGCATGGAAATCGGTAGTGGTTATCACAATAGGGGGAATCTTTTCCTTCTTGGCATTAAGCCGGGAAAGTTTACTAGAATTTTTCTTGGATGATGGATCATTCTCATCATCCGTGAGCAAATCAAATTGATTACTCAAATTAATTTCATCAGAAGGGGGGTCAAGAGTTTGCCCCTTTCTTTTGAGTTTAGGCGCCATGGCGGCAGTAAATTTTTATCCAAATCGACTTCCAAGCAGATTACTATAAGAATCTGAAGGATCGAAGAGGAATTTTCCAAATCGATATCCAAGAAGGATTACCTCGGGTAGGGTCCAAACAAGGATCGAAGAGGAATAAGAGTTGAACAAGGTAGAATTTTTTTACAGGTTGAGCACTGAAAAGTGCTGTTTAAATTTGTTGTAGCTTTAGGTAGTAGTAACACTTCCTTCAGCAAAAAGCAAATAGATCCGCACGGCAAGAGAGCACGATGCGGACTGATCACTGCCAGTCTGATTAAGGTGATCCCACTGTCCTTTTTATTCCACGATTGCTACTGTCAAATCGACCAATCAGCAACTGGCTCGGATTTGACAGAAAATTGGCTTCGCTCACTTAACAATTTTTCTAACTATCCAACTGACCATACTAGATCAAATTTTCTGCTTTTAGTGCCGCTAAAAAATCAGTTTCTTAACCTAATTTTTTTTGTTTCAAATGTTACGAATAAGTAATCTGAAGAAGAGTTGTAAAGGGTGTTCCACATCAAATTGCATCACCGAAAAAAAGCTGTAGAAAATACTCTCGTAGACCGATCCTTTTCAAACTTTCAGACAATAAAATATAACCCATTAGTAAGCTATTGGCATATTTATCTCATTCAACTTCAATACTATAACCGTACGCTCGCACCCTACGCTTAACTCCACTCATTAGGTTCTGTACAACATCTGGCTGCAGCTTCTTCTGTGCGGAAACCCACTTTTTCTTCATGTCTTCCTCAGATTTGACCTCCTTGGGATGCTACCATAGTGCCTGCATAATAATAACCCATTATTTTTCGATGGACCTTAGTTCCGGTGCGGGGGGGGGGTCATGTCCTTGGGCACGAAATTGACCCCATTGGCTTCGTACCACTCCAAGACAACAATTGAATAGTGGCACGAAGCTAGATCCGGCCAGAAGATCGTATGGCCCACGTGTTGCTTCAATAGAGGAAGCAGACGCTTTTGTAGACATTCCTTGAGGTAGATCTCCCCGTTTGCCACATAAGCAGATCGCTTGCCAAATCATGTATTTCTTGACAAACTTTGAAAGTTTCTGCTTAATTACTTCCTCCGGAACATCAAACTTGTGCTGGGCGGTGAAGAACAGTAGTCCCGGAAGCTGCCGGAAGTCCGCTTTGAAAATGAGGCTTCGTCAGCATCTGGGTGTACAGTTTCCGGGCCCATGACTTTCCCACCTATTTTGCCGTTCGTCACGATTTGGAGGCTTCGGCACATTGTACGTATGCAGTCCCTCCCGGTGCTTGGCTCTCTGAACGAAAGACTTGGACAGATTCAACTTTTTGGCCACATCCCTGACCGAAGCATTGGGATTCCGCTTAAACGCTTTCAACGCTTTCTGACCTCATTTCTCCGATACTCAGAGTTTCGTAGCAACGTTTAATCACACGACTCACCGTTTATTACACGATTCCGAGTTGTTTTCCGATGTCCCCATGAGAGGGTTGAGAATTTTCCAGGTGCTTGCACAAAATCAATTCGTGACGTTGATTTTGGGTGTCCAACTTTCGAAAAACTAACTGCGATAAAAATACAGTGTAATGGGTAATTTTCTATAGCGATTTTTCCGTGATACAATTTGATGTGGGACACCCTTTAGGCCATAATATGGCGCACGTTTCCAACGAACAATGTAGCAGGGTATAATTTAAAATTTCATTTCTAAAGTTACGGTTAATTTTTGTTTTCTTAATAATTTTAATCTTGATACGGTTCTGATAGACCATATAAAAACACAACATTTGAATTTAAAATTGTATGAACAATTGTATGCTGCTATACGACTGATATAAAGTTCGGAAACCCTATATTTACCTTATATCGCAAAAAGGGCGATTAACGGGCTTCTTGGTTACTTGGGTGTGCTACTTACCATGGATAGGCTAACTTCTAATTGCTTACCCTTCTGACTAAAAGAAAACATGACCAGGGTAACACATTAGAGTAGCTTTCAACGGTTTAGGGTGCATTTGCATTAAAATTCCCCTAGGAAAATCAATAAGGGCGTAACTTATTCAATATTAGTCATGTAAATCTTCAATCCTATGCACTGCTGTAGACAATCTAGCTAATTTACAATTCCGTGACCAATCAGCTCACCATTAGGCGAAACCATCATACCTACCGTCACTTCGTGGGAACACAGCTCGCAAAAAATATTCGGCGGTGGATTCCCACAGGCCGAAACGATGTCCTCAATTTTACGCGCCATCACAAAATGCGGCGGCAAACGATTTACGCCCCCCAGTGGCAGCTCCGTTGCCACGCCACAGCTGGGACAAAGCAAGTCCTTTTCCTTATCGGAGTACACCATTTTGGCAGTGAGCTTCGCTTTTTCTCTTGCCTGAAATTGATAATCTTGATGAACAAATCGTAATCGAGGTAAAAAAAATGCCACAATAAGCATGATCCAATCAGTGTGGCTTGCGAAATTGAAAATCCACTCTCCAATCAACAGAAGCCAACTGACCCCGAAGTAAGATCAGAAAGTCCAGTGTATGTAGTACTTGCCTTCTCTTTCGATGGTGACTTCAAACAGTTTTTCTCCTTGAAGTTCTGAAAAGACGCTCTAATCTGATCAAAACGTGATTCCCCGCTGAAAGCTCCATGATTAGCAGCACAATTGATGGCACGTGAGGGCTCATGTGCTGCAGCAACCGCAGCTGGGTGCTTTTCATTTTCTCCGCTTTCATCGGTGGCTGACAAAATGGCAAAAAGGGGAAAATCAAATGCTCAATCGTTCGTTCGTTCGTATGGTTGTGCTCACAGAACGGCTCTCCTACTGTTGCCCTCCGTGGAAGCAAGCAGGAAGCAAGGAATCAAGGAAAAAACAGGCAAACTTTACTGGTACCGCAAACTCCCATTTACCAAACCGGTCATCGATAGCTGCTACATAGCAAATCCATTCCAGCAACAACAACAACAACTACAATAACAGAACTATCAGAAGGAGAAAAAACAGGAAGTTCATAGCAAAACAAAAACTTCAATAAATCAACAGCGAAATTGCATCGTAACGGCGTAATGTGGGAAGCATTTGTGGTAAGTGAAAAGAATCGGAACGGTGCTCACCGCTCCCGTGCCGCGTGTTTGTGTATGGATAAAGGATGCTCGCACTGCACTGGCCACCACCCAGTATCGATACGTCGTTGACGATGGGGAAGCCAATAAAAGTCATCGCCGACTGGGGCTGGGGCTCCCGGAAAGCACGTGTCTCACATGCGGATTCATAAATCTGTGAACATCGAACGTGCACAGACAGCAGAACTCGAACATTGCCACAAACCCCAACAGCCGCCATTACCTCTCACATGGCGAGCTGTGGAGCACCCAAGCTGGCATTCCGAGAACTCCATTATATAACCTGGTGTGGGTGGGCCGGTTGTGTACGGGGAACAGTGAATAACTTGTGCTCCTTGCTAGTTGTTCCAAGTGTAGGCACAATGTAGGTATGAATGTCATGTGTAACTTGTGTTTCCAACTGTAACGACATGCATAGGATCCACTCGCCAGCAGTAGCTGCCTGCCAGACTAGTGTGATGCAACCGTAAGGGCTCGTCTTTCGATGATTGGAAAAATTGCAATAACTATCAAGGTCTCCGTTGACGGTGGGTGGGTTATTATGCTTCTCATAGTATAAGAAAATGTACAGCATTCAACCTTTGGATACTATTTTGCATAATATCACAAAAATTTAAAGCCACAGTTAACGAATTTAAAGTCATTAAATATTTCAACATTTCCAAGTGATAAGAAATGCACCCAGTGCCGTATTAGCAGTAGAGCGATGGTGGGCTTAAGGCAAGGTCCCAAATTTGAAGAGCGCCCCGACTCAGAGGCATCAATCATATCCTTCCCAAGACATCAAAGTACTATGATTTACAAAAAAAAACAGGCTCACATAAAAAATACCGCATTAAAGGCGTTTACACAATTTTTACGTGGTGAGAGCCTAAGGTTGCGATACTTTGGGGTTGGGATAAGACCAAGTCGAAGACAACCTGCGGAACATTTCGTAATAATATATTGGTAATCCATTTCTTGCAACTCTTAAATTACGAACCACCCACGTTGGTGAAGATTTTGATTTGCTTTGAACTGTTTTCTGTAATTTTTTCGTTCGGTGAAATTTTTGAACTAACTGTGTTTAGTTCCAATACACTATGACTAGAAAGTCATCTCGTTTGTTTTTAGGAGCCAGAAGTAGATGAGTTGTACAAACTAATTATTGACCATCAACTACTCAAGATAGATTAAAATGAGTGAAAAACAAATTCAGTGAGGCTATAAATCAGACTTCATTAGGATGCTGATCATTAATATTGAGTCCGAAATATTAATGCAAATTGATATCAACACTTCTATTAACAAGTTAGTAAGTATGAGGAGTCGTAAACAGATTTAGATTATTCAGTTTAAATGGGATTTAAAATAAAGGCAGGTTAGAAAAAAATTAAACGACAATTGATTGCCGCAAGTAGGGGAATTTACGTATTCTCGGCAACCTAAGCAGCGACCTTCGTTCTATAGCCTTTTTCTCTATGGAACGCACACATATGCAGTATTGGTTTGTTTACAATCTTTTGCTGCCAGCTGCTCTAACAATTTCAGTCGAAAGAATTGTCAAAAACTGTTTTGAAACGCTCCAATCTTCTCTAGTGAGAGCGAGTATTGTCGGCAACCAGTTTTTCTTCGGCAACCGTTCCATTTGAACTGCATGTAAATCTGCTGTTCTATTATCGGCAACTCGAAATCAGCTACAATTTGTAGTGCGTGTGTTTCATTTCAAGAAAACCCTGCTAGATTGCTTTTTCTCAGTGGTATAAATATAGTCAAATTGAAGCTGAAAGCATAAAGAATCGTTTGCATGCATTCAGCGAAGTGTTTTCGTAAGAAAATCCAGTGAAAATAGTGTTTCAATTTGGGTTGCCGAAAATAGTCTGTCATGCCGAAGTCGTCATTTCCCCTATTTTGTTTTTATTTAATGTGCGCTAGAATTTAAAAAATCTAATCACAAGGGTCCCAAATTAAAAAAAAAAGACCAAGGGCCCCAAGGATGGTAAAGACGGCCCTGAATGCACCCAAAAATTAAAAACCAATAAAAAATACAGAAAATAGGTTCCAATTCAATGTACTTCTACACAGTTCGAAAAAGAAGTGTAAATTTCTGTTCAATTTGATGCACTTAAATGCAGCGTCACATATCATAAGGCTTGTACTCGAAAAAATGCACCATTTTTATCCGTGTGTAACTTTTTTATCTGTGGGTAAAATTTGATGAAAATCTGTGTATAACTAGTTTAGAGTGAATTGTTTACATGTGCAAAATTTCATAACAATCTGTTCAGTGGTTATTGAGATGTTATCGAAACAAGAAGAAAATCGCCGGAGAATTTTGCGCGTCGTCATGGAAAATCCGACTGCGACCATGAGATGGATCGGAAGACAACTGGGAATCACCCATTCAACTGTGTCTCGGGTGGTAAAATCGTTAAAAGAGTCCCAGACAACCGAGCGGCGGGCTGGAAGTGGAAGAAAATCGAAGACAGCTGAACCTGTGAAGGCCCGGAAGGTGTTGGATTATTTCAAGCGTAATCCGAAACTTTCGATTCGCGACGCGGCTCTGAAGGCAAAGCGTTCCGTCTGGTTCGTTCAGTAAACCATGAAACGAGCTGGGCTTCGTGTATTCAAGGTCCGGAAGGCACCGAACCGGCGTGATCAACAAAACACGGCGGCCAAATCCCGCGCAAGAAAGCTGTATCGAGAGTGGTTAACGAAACCGATGTGTGTGGTTATGGATGACGAAACCTACACCAGGCAGACGCAAAGCAGATACCGGGGCTGGAGTTCTACGTTGCCAAATCACGGTTTGATGTTCCGGAATACATAAGGAAGAAGAAAGTGGACAAATTCGCCAAAAAATACTGGCAGGCCATATGCCAATGCGGTAAAATGAGTAAACCGTACATCACAATGGGTACCATCAACAGCGAAATTTACCGCACCGAGTGCCTTCAGAAGCGTCTGTTGCCCTTCCTGCGGTCCCATGGAGGCGAGACATTATTTTGACCGGACCTGGCATCATGCCATTACGCGCGATCGATGTTGGATTGGTACAGAGACAATAACGTTGTTTTTGTACCAAAAACCGCCAACCCACCAAATTCACCAGAGATTCGTCCGGTGGAAATATTTTGGGCCATAATGAAGGCCAAAGTTCGAAAATCGTCCAAGGTGTTTAATAACGAGCTGGAGTTGAAGAAATAATGGATGAAAGTGACCAAAAAGGTCGGCTCCACCATTGCACAAAATGTAATGAGGGTTCTTAAGAAAAAGGTGCGGGCTTTCAGCGATGGAAAGGAAATTGAATAAAGTCATTATGTTGTGTAAAATGTATTAGTTCATTCCTTGAAAGTTTCAAGAAAATCCGACTTAAAATAAATTTTTGGCGAATACTTTTGCCTGGTGCATTTTTTCGAGTACAGGCCTTATAAGATTACATTATATACAGTCACCCCAGTATTATGAGCCACCCAATATTATGGGTCAGTCTTTGCAGTTTTTGCGTTTAAAACACTATTTAATAACATATAACCATCAAATAAAATTTTAATGGATACCAATAACATATCTCAACATGCTTGGCTCAGATGTACGTGGTATGTTCTTTTTTTCCGGCAGACGTCAGTAAGCTCCGATCAGCTGTTAATTTGTTGTTGTTTTCATCAGAGCCATAAAACTCCGCTCTTAAGTAATAAGCTAAATACCTACGCATATGGCCCATAATATTGGCAGCCAAATTCACTTTTGCCAGTATTATGGGTCAGGGACGTTGATTAACAGCGCTGACATTATTATTTTTATGTATTTCATTTTCATTCTGAAAAATCAAGGAAATGGCAAGACAAACCGAAAAACAGCATAGTGCATCTCGCTCTTGAACAGGCGCGACAAACGGGAAAAGTTTGGCAGGCTATAAGAGACCATAATCTCCCTTACAGTACAGTTCAACGGCATCTTCGAAAACAACCAAATGTAACAAGCCAGGACCTAATACTCTTCTTCTTCCTGAAGAAGAGACTAAAATCGAAGAATGGATTCTTTACATGTCCAGAGCGGGGTTTCCCGTCAGTGAATCGAGCCTTACTCGTACTGTTTCTGAGTACGCAAAAAAGATCCGGAAAATGAGAGAATCACCCAAGTCATTCCCGAGTAAGTCAGTATTGGATATTTTCTAAAATAAATTCGTTCAAATTATTCTATTTCAGGCAAAAATTGGTTTCATTTCTATTTGAAACAGCATCCCACTATCAGTAAGAAATTCATCACGAAGCTTCCGAAAGCTAGCGCAAAAGTAACCAAGGAGTGGAAGAAAACCTCAAAGATATTGACGTTGACCTTTCGATCTTCAATGATCCACAACGCAGCTACAATTTCGATGAACAGGATTCCTGCTTGTACCAACTCGATTCAAAGCTCTGTGTGACGCTCAAGCCAGCAATGTTTACTTTGTGAATATCAACTGCGACAAAGAAAACTTCACAGTACTTTTTGGAAGTAGTGCGGACGTTGAGCTCACACCACCAATGATCATCTATCCCGGCAAGCGAGTAACACGTGAAATTGCAAAGAATATTCCCTCTGGCTGGTCTGCATGAGTTTCCGATGAGGGATGGCAAACTTACAAAACATTTTTAAC